AAAAACTTATGTCAATATTTTTGGGTAAAACTACCAGATAAAAGTAGTCCGTGCACTAGCGGACACCCCCCGCACCCTCCGCGTCCCTGGTACCCCGGTGTAAGACAGCCTTGCAATCAACGCTTTATAACCGATTATAAAGTTCTCTTACGAAAAATTGTCAAAACTATCAATTTATTTTAGACAAGGTATTTTTCACTTATAAACAAATAAAAAGTAACTTACCCGAGTTATCCATGGTGGAGGAAACGATGTTCTCCAAATCCATTGCTAGATCTCCAGGCTGCTCCGGGCGCAGGCTTTTCACCGGCTTAAGCGGCATCGTTGCCGGAAGATTTTGAGTTGGGTTAGCCATCACAAATAAGGAATAGGCTGCCTGAATTTCGACAAGCGTAAGGTTCTTGTACTGCTTACGAATCTTATATATGTTATTATTCCCTGTTGAATAAAAAAAAATTGTAAATACGACACAATTTGTATTTGAAATACATTATTGTAATGCAGCATAAACATATTTGAAATAATTTATTCATTTATTTGCTAAATAAAACCAAGTTTATTGGTACCATAATATCAGTACACAATGTAAAATAATAGAAAATTATAACATAGCAATACTAAATAATATTCAATATTAAACAACACGGAAAGATTCGGGCGAACCTCGAATACATATTTTATAATATGCAGTTTATAACCTATGAACTAGTATAGTAGATGAAATAAGTATTAAATAAAAAAAAGTTTAGTTTTTGCTTTGAAATTCGCTCGATTGCAATACTTAGATGGAATAGAATAAGATATATACAATGACGCCGCCATGTCTAATTTTAAAATGATGCTGATAGCGATAAGCAACAGAGAAATTTGTTTTTAAAATCACAACATAAAATTTAAATCTACTGCTTCTGTATCTTTTGTTTTGACGAGCTTAAGAATAATATTTTCAATAATTTAATCAAATTAAAGTCGTTCATATTTTTAAAATGCAATTATGGTTTGGCATTGCGCCGCAAATTTAGTTTCAAAGTTTAGAGAAAAAACCTATTGGAATAAAAATGAAACAACAAAACTATAGAATACCACATTTATTTTTAATATGTCACACTTTTGCCACAGTCGGTTATTAATTTAATAAAAAAAATTATATTGTAAAATAACATAATTTTAGTACTTCGCAGTGCCAATTTAATTCTTGAAATCAAAACAAAATTTTCTATGTACTTTACGTAAACGGGACAATTTAGAAAAGAAATCGAAATATTAAAAGTAACGACTAATTTTAGTAACATTTTGAGTAACTCACCGTTGCGTGCGCGCAGCCGATATAAAATGATCAGCCTGATTGACAAAGCTGACCTAGAGAAGAATGAACTGTCAACGCAGACGTTAATAGTCTACTGGACAGGCTATAAGCCGTGGTATTTGTGCCTTTTATATTTTCGCCATTTTGGCGCTGACGGTTGCGGTTGTTAACGGTGGTGAGTATTCAAACTAATAGTCGAGATAAATTTAACGGTCAGTCACATTAACAAGCGCTTTAAGTCGAAACGAAACTGTTTTAACTAAACAGTGACCTGTCCATATCTATAGAGGTCAGTGCTTGTCATGTGCATCCACTAGCTGTCAATAAGATATTTTTTTTTAATTCAAGACTACAAACTCCAAAGTTATCAACTATCATGAATCTTTTGTTTTATTGTTTTATTTTTATATGCAATTTGAAGTCTAAATCAAATATTGGTAAATTTATACGAGTAACTGTCAGTTTCCGAAACTAAAATCTCAATTTAAAAAATACCTATGGTCATATATGTTTTATCAAACATGGCAATGACAGGGATGACGATATGTTTTATACAAAGTTTCTGGTCTCATAAAACCACGTAAATTATCTACCTACTTTGTTGTATATTATAGTAATTTAAATTGGGCACAATTGAATTCAATATTCATAGTTAAGACATTTCTAAGTCTATCGTACCAGCTAGATCCGGCGTACACATATTTCAAACTTGAAGGCGATGATGTTACAAGTTAAGTCAAAAGTTTACCTTTATTGAAAAACCAGACTTTAAACATCTGTGGATTTGTGTTGATTTCTTCCGGCACCATGGCGCAGAACTCATCGTTGAGGTGGTATCGATAACTACTGCAGAACTCCATCTGTTGAAACGATCCCAAAACGTGTAATAATTACATAGATTTAAATCATACCAATTTTTAATGAACAATTTAGTCTAAAAAATATATATATAAAAAGATGAAAAAATAAACAAAGAAGAATAAAAAATGAAATGTGATTATGAATGAAATAATTTTCTTTTATTTTTTGATTTTATTACCTGTATTTTTCTACATCTCCGACCACAGTTTACGTGAAAACGCAAACATTCGTGCTCTATGACAGGTGCAGCCACACAGATCATTCTATCCCTTACTATTTGTACGATAAAAATACACTTCGCTGCGCTGTCGGTAAATTGGCGAACATCAAAGGGATTTATTGCGCAAAAAGTTTGTGCAATTCGACCTGTGTGGCTACACTTCAGTCAACTGAAAGACGCCGAGTGGCAAAGAGAAAGAGTATATTATATGCCGAGCGATGAGGACGTGCTATTTTGAAATGATTTTTTATCATGTTATTCTAGTATACTGTAATTATTGATTTCAAGAAAAAAGAATATTTAAACTTATTCAAATCACACAAAAAAAATTATTGTCAATCAATTTTGATTTATTTTTTTACTCTGAAATTTTCTTGTTAAAATAATAAAGATGCATCAGAATTATTAGCCGATACTATGATAAAGCGGTACCACCTGTTTTATTTTTTAGAAAAAAATAATGCATTATGAATTGTTTTAAACAGAAATTTAGTATTAGATTAGGCTTATCTATATTGCTAAAATAGAAATATAATATAGTGAAAATAACAGTCTGAATTCTTTTTCTTAATACCATTTAAGAAAAAACAAATCAAAATGCAATAAATAGAATTTTTAAGTTTAAATTTATTATATAATAACCGCGAAATTTTACATTTAGCAGCTGTGAAAAATCGTGAATTTGTATTTATTATCTGCAGTTATCGCGAAGTTTTTTCTACTTCGCGCGAATGCTTATAATGTGACCATGCACTTCCTCATATCGACGAAACGTAAAATTATCGTGTTGCCAGTCCAACGAATTTCGCTATTATATGTAGCATCATGTATATTGGAAAAAAACTGCCTTTTGCTCGCTATAGAAGTCAACATAATCAAGGGTAATAGGAGCACTAAACATGTCGCAGATATACAAAATATAAATTAATTTTTAATTTTCAATAAACAAATTTCACTCCACGAAATCAAAAATTATTTTCATTAATTATTAATAACAAAAAAAATACATTCTTTTAAATTGCTAGAATGACGTATAAAAACTTTGACAGATGACAGCCCACTCTTAGCGCTGGCGACACCTACTTAGAGCTTTCAGTTTTTCTCCCCGCTTTGCCTCAAATTGAATATCTTACAGCTGTCGGAATAGATAATTTTGCACGTGTAGAGGAGCTGCTATCGCAGTTCATTTCGACATAACAGATTTGACCGAACATACAGGTAAATTACAAATGGGCTCACACGATTTGCCAGCGTCATAAAAATAGATATTTTAAGAAAATGTGATATACTTCAAACATTACAGGATAACAGCCATTACGGACTGAATAATTTAGTGAAGACTTTGCGAAGTTTAACGTTATTTTCGAGAATGTATTTAGGTTATATTCTGCTTTCACTAAAAGGATTTTGCTGTAGCGTTCTACTTATTTTGTTTTATTTCAAGCGCTTTGAAATTAAGATATTGGAGACGCGGCCGGGGCGATACAGTTTTGTTTCAACTTCATCGTGATAGCTGTGAAACATCGAAGTTTAATTTCCAATTCCGATATTCATCAAGGAGGAAATAAGTTTATAACTGAAAGGAACGAATCTATTGAAATTCATTTAAAATCGGAGAAAATATTTCATCGGTCTTTTTCTAGACATCTTGGAATTTAATTTATAATTAGTGTTAAAATTTTAATCGTCACCAACAACTGTGTGAAACAATCAGAATTGAATGTTAAAAATTGAGTAAAGAATTAAAAGCACACAGGCAGTGACATCTATATTTCGATAATGGATCAATAATAATTCTATCAAAATAAGTGGGTGTTGTTTTTTATTTCATAAGACATATCCGCGTAATATAATATGTATATACCTTGAGAAATTTTGAAATGTTACTTTATACTTTTCTTCAATCCCAACGTTCAAGTTCTAATACATTTGTACAAAACATAACATACAAGACAAACTACAAAAGGCTTGGGAACAAAACTCCTGGCGCCATCTATGTTCAGTTCAATAAACACAATCTTATAAATACACAATCTTATAAATTGAACTGCGCAAATCATTTTCCATTCACTTTTATCGATATTTCTGGCTAAATGGATAGATGCCTTATCGACGTGACCTCATCTTTATTATTTTATAGTCTATAACTTTCAATTATGTGAACAATTGCTTCCAAAAGAAAAGGTAACGAGCCTAGGTAGTTAAGACAATCGTGTTCCTAAATAAAACGAACGTAAAATAATTCCAAAAAGATGTATGTAGCAGCTGAAAAATAGGTGACATTTTTATGCGAAAGAAATGATGTGAATATTTTATTTCTTTACATATTATAATAGAACATTTATATATGTAATTATGTTCTGTTTTATAAAAAGTACTTAAGTAATCATTTTAGTACTCCGACCGGTATTTTACTTTCCATTACGATGTATTAAAGGCTAGACTAAAATGTAGTTTGTAACAAAGGGAAATTCGCAATGAACAACATTTCGAAATGTATTGGGGAAACTGTGGGCAGGACCATTAGTAAAGCCGGATAATACCCACATAGTGCTCCTCGCGCTTCAAAAGTCACCTAAAAGCTACGGCTTTCATAATAAATTCAGAAATTCCATCTAAGAAAATATTGCTAGGTTTTAATTATCAATTTTATAACAATCACTTTAAAGTATTTTCTAAGTACAAAATATGGATATGCTATTGCGATATATTTCATTCCGTTTAGGATATCGGATCATTTACATGAATGCTTTGATATCCTTTTTAAAAAAGACTTATGAATCAAAACCGTAGCTACGTAGCTAAATGAAAAATTTCAGTTTCCAAAAACGAAAATGTCAAAGCCAATAATTGTCGACAAGGCAATGTTGAAGTCGTCCCGGCGTATGTAATGCGTTTGTAAAAGGAATGAATATGCGCGATGCACTCGTTCAACTCGATTTTGTTTTGTCTTGATAGCCTTTTGTCGCTTTTCGAAGGGACACTGCACGTGTTAAATACTTTATTTGACGCAGTTGAAAAATTCATCATGCTTTGTGAAAAGAGCAGTTAAATGAATTTTTTATTTTTATTTACAAGCGAAATTGTCCAAAAGCTTTTTACAGCGAATTTTGTACGATATGCTCTCATCAAAAGATCAACTTACGAAATACCGTTGTAAATTTTATTTTCGCGTTTTTATGATGTGAGATGGTATGTTCAATATTACTCTTATGGAAATAAATGTAAACGATATTTTTTTATAAAATTTACAAATAGATGCACACAATGGATATTAAAATGTATTGTTGGATAAATTGGTTTTGAACTTTTAACAATAATTGACAGCATCTATAATAATAAAGAGTGATAGACAACGATTTTTAAAATCGGATGCCTGTAGTAAAAATGTTCATATTAGTGTTCATAATAGTTATAGTAAAATTAATCTTTTTAAAGCACCTTACTTTAATTTTTTGTTACAACTTTTAAAAAGACAATTCAGAATCGAAGTTCATATCGCGTAGCGCCCTTAAATCCTGTTTAAAAACTATTCCGCGATTATTTATCAAAAGGGTAACAATAATTGTTCAGTACAGACACAAAAGTACGCAATTGCTTTTTACGACGTTCATCAGTGTCAAAATTGTAAAGGACAAAGGCAAAACCCCATACATCTTGTAACCGAAATAAAATTTTAAAAAAAGAAAAAAATATTTTGATGCTTAGTGTTTTTTCATGAATTCATTTTTGCATTTTTAATCTATAGACCTAGAATAATAAATATTTGGTCCTGAACTTTTGTATGGTATGTATGAATCATAGTAATATGTGTGTAATATTAAATGCAAGCTTAGATGGATGGATGCTTGTTACTCCGTATCTCCATAACTTAACAAATCTTAATGAAACTTGGCACAGATGTAGAAGAAAGTCTGGAAGAAGACTTATACACTTACAAAGTTTTTTTTAATTCCACGTACCAAAGTCGCGAGGTAAAGTTAGTGCCGTATAAAAGACTAATTAATGTAAATAATCATATACTTCCTCTTTATAATATTATTTTAGATAAAGAATTATGAAGTAAAGTTCAGTCTTATTTTTGGCATATTTGAAGTGCCTTTCATCTTAAACGGCCCACGCAAAGTGTCTGATATTATTTAATATTACAATATTTTTCAATACAGTGATACTCTTAGTAAAGTTTGGTGTATTTTTCCCACATCCAACTTCAATACTCATTCGATTATAGTATAACAGTTAACCTTGTTAATGTGAGGTTGGACAGCTCTAGGATCTTCATCTATAAGTTAAACATGTCATGAAGCCAGAGTGTCAGCGACAATTGACAGCTGACAGAATAGAAGAGTGTGACGGTCATTGAAAGTGTTGTAGGAAATAAAAATATACTTTAAATCTATGCATTTTATTTATTTTTATAATATACAATCTGTATTATAAATCGTCTGATTAGACGCTTAGTGATAAGTATTATTACTGGCATCGTACAAATAAATAATAAAAAAGTTAATAGAATATTGCCGTTGCATCATAGCTTTGGCATTGTTAATAGCCAATTAAATCGTTTCATTTAATAATAAAGGAAATGAATATAAAACTGATAATACAAAAACACAAATTAAAAAAATTAACTAGTCACTTAATATTTACTGATTCAGTATTAAAAAAATGACAACAATAATCTAATGAAAGCGAATGAAAGGTATCTTCAAATAACTTTTTGGTTAACAAAGTTTTTCTGGCTTTCACTAGTTGATGTTATACATTAAAAAAACATAA